CCCTTGCAGGGAAACAGTGTAGGCAGAGTTGTTTACTTGCTATGAACCCTTCCCTAAAAACAAAAGCAAAGGTTTTTGAGTAGGTCACTGTCCTTTAGGAGTTGAAGGTTCTCTTCCCAGGTCAGCTGCAACCTGTGAGTCTTGCTGGAGAAAACAGTTTAATATCTGTGAATAAGAATAACCTTTTTCATGTAAGATATACAACTGTTACAGTGTCATATGAATATTGCCAAGAAATGATGAATTATTACATGCGTAAAATGTGTGATTCAGTATTCACATAAGAAATTGTTTGTATAAAACCATCTAGAAGGTTTTAATAGTTAGAAATAGTTGTCACCAAAGGGCCAGTCTTTTTGTTGATTAGGTGCATCACAAGTGGGTTTAGAAGGAAGATAGAAACACTACTTCCCCTATCTGCCTGTTTGCTTTTTTTCTTCCTGGAGACTACAGTCTGCACAGCAGTGATGCATGGGAAAAGCCAGTACATTGCCCATACTGGCTGTAAAAAATTATTCACCTTGTGCTTTTAAAAAATAATAACAGAAATAATCTTGTTCAATGAATGGCAGAAACTAGTTGATAACAAACATAGCAATTTTCGAGTCAAATTTCATACACTTAATATTATTGTAACTTTAAATACATATTGATATTTCACATTTCAAGCCCAAAATGTAGAGACGGAATGTATGTGACAATGACCTTTGTATCTCAATGAAAATGACTGCCCTCTTACAGCTTCACAAAAAGAGCTAAGGGGGATATTCTTCGTTAGTACCTACCTGTTGTAAGCAATGTAATTTTTATCTGGTACGTGGAAATTAAAAATAGGTAGTGAATATGATCTGCCTGTATTAGAATTCCCTTCATAAGAGCCTAGTAAGCCATTAAATCAATATTACTGTGGAGTGTTAGACTAGGGTTTTACTGAATTGTCAGTGCTGTAAGAAAACCTCTGTTTTGTGCTGCTGTGAGTCCTTGTCATGCCTGTCTGTCACATCTCTGTGCCCTGGCACCCCCCAGGTGCAGATACTTGGTCACTAGGATTTATTTGCAATAAGACCTTTCTACATACACAGGTCTTGCTTTTATTATAAAGTAAGAAAAAGTAAGTACAGTCAATAATGTCCTCGAGATGAGTAATAAAAGTTCTGTTAGAGCTCACAGTGCATGATCTGATAATGCCTTGCTGTGACTTGAAATATGAATGGTTGTCATGTACTTTGTGTAGCTGTTGCTACTTGGTTGACTCTCAAGAAGACTGTTCAGGTGCTTCTTTATTGGACTCTTAATTTTTCTCTTTATTTAGAAGTAACAAAACACACAAACGTAAATCCCTACCTGTTCATCAGGAATATGGTTGAAACAATCCCTGAAAGCATAATAATCCAGGAGAGAACTTTTCTGGGGAAATTCATTTCACAGTGTGATATTAAAGCAGAGAAAGTAATAAAGCATTTGTGATGACCAAAAATATTATATTAGCTGTCTCTGTCTTTAGTCACCAGATGTCTGATGTCCTGTTGAGAACCAGCTGTTTCTATATTTCTGATAACATTTCTTTTCACCCTGTTCTCAAGAGGACAGTTCTGTTTGTCCTGTTCACCCAGGTGTGTGTAGTGCATTAGTCTTCACTGCAGACTCGCTGCATCTTCCTGGCCCAGCCCCAGAATTGATGCTTCCCAGTAGCTGTATCAAAATCAGCTCACACAGTGCAGTCAGTTGGAGCAATAAGACATTAAAAGGTCCAGCAATCAGGGAGCAGGAAGGTGCAAAGGGAGTGTAGTTGGCTTTGGAAGTGGGAGCACTGCAAACAGGGTTGAGCCCGAGGTGTGCATTTATGCTCACAAGTCAGATGATGGGTTTTATTTAGCAAAACACAGTCACAATGACTTTTTTGAGAGTGTTGGTGTAAGAAACTTAAATTATCTCGTGGCTTATGCATCAAAATGGTAACCCTGAGTATGAGTTTGTGTGCAGTGAAGATATAATGCTGTTATTTTTGATAGGAATGTTGTGGGTTGTTAATGTCGTCTCTCAAGTTTATCTTATAATACTATAGCTATTTTCTTCCCTTTATTTCTTATTTTCTTTCCCAGGGATTGTGATTCTGTGTCTGTGCTTTGAGATACAATAGCAACAGACATTTAAGTAATGAAGTGTGAATTCATTGGTTCCACGCTGAAGAAAACAAGATATAAAAGACTTTGTGTCCTGCTGAGAGATTGCCTTGCTTTTTTGGGTGACTGCTTAGGCTAAAGGCTGGAGAGCAACTGCCCAAGAAGCAACAGAATTGCAGCATGGTGTCTGCCTTTTGGTGGCTAACTGCATTTACAAAATGTCCCTAAAGCCTTTTTTAGAAAAAGTAAAATAAGGAATTTAAGCTAATTGTGGTGGTAAGAAACTGAAATTGTGTAACTCAAATGGGGTCTCTGGGTGACTACAATTAATTCATTCTTATCTCTTCTTTTCAGGTTTTCTTCTTCTCCACCTTGGCCTTCCCCTTCAAATCTGGTCACTTTTCTGTGATGTGTTACTGTACATTGCCATAAGATCTGTTACCTCTTCCTTGTCTTACCTCTTTGCTTATGCTTTAAGAGAAGTCTTTTCAACTTCTGTCACTGGTCCCGAAATCCAGTCATCAGTAGTTTATCTCTCCAAACATAGGTGCAGGTAATCTGTTTTTTAAAGCTTATCTGATGTTTCTGGCTAATTTTTGCTTAGTTCTGGGCATTCTGAAGATGAATTTTCAGTGTTCTGCTGGGCTGTTTCAAAGCCACTAAGAGACCCAAATGCGGGCTTCAGCTCTGATTTGTACAAGTGCATCTCATTTCATTTGTGATGGTACATCAAACATATTTCACTTTAAGGAACCATTTTATGTGAAGTAACCCATTGCAAATTTTGAAGTTTTCTTTTGAGCTGCACTGAAATCTTTGAGAAACAAGATTCTTTGCTCTGCTCTGCCAGAGATTGCACAGCATTTCTTCGTGTTTCTGTGTGGGTAAGGTCAGTGTCTTTACTCAGTCTCTGCATTGTGAATATCTGTGTATGTCTGCCTGTGTATGTAAATGTGTGTTTTAAGTGCAATACTATAAATGGTGGAGAGGAGGGAGAGAGGGATTGTAGGCTTCACATCACACAGTTGTTGCAGGGCAGGGTTGAAAAGCAATGCTCTCGTAGTTAATGCTTCTCGAGTGATTGAAGAACAGTAACCAAACTGTAAAAGGTCTAAAGGGGTTGTGTGTAAACTGCTTTCCCTGGAGCTGTGGCAGGAGCAGTGCAACAAGTATTTACTTTTTCTCAACCTCCTTCTCATGTTCTGAGTTGAGCAGAAATTCTTCTAAAGATGGTTTGGAGTTAGATGCCAGTAAGTGGGAAAGTTAAGAGTCAAGTTCTGAGAAGACAAAGAGTCTTTCAAGTGTGTGTGCACATATAAGCAGCAGCTCTTCCCAGGGACGTTTCATAATCAGTTGTTTGTCCACAACAAACAGATCCCCTGGAATGCCCAGAGCCTCAGGATTTGTCTGCTCTGAAGACACTATTAATTGCTTGCAGCCCATGTTGAGTTCCATGATGCTTTTGATTGTGCCCAAGTTCACCAGTTGAAATCTCGTTCAGACACGATGATGCTGAAGTCTAATTTCAACTAAAAAAAAAGACAATCCCAAATGAAAAAAACAAAGCCATGTTTTTGAGTGATATCTGAGGATACTCAGCAGCCTGCAGTAGGAAATGATTCATTGTGTTCTGCCTTAATACATGAGTACCTTTTTTCTTCTGTGGTTTAGATCCTAGGAGATGAAGTAAGTGCACTGAGGGGCATTGGAGAGAGGGTAAGAGTTCTTTTAAACTGATAAGCCAACAGCAACAAGTGCCCAAGTGATGAATTTACTTTATTGTTCTATCAAGTTACTTTGCATGTACTCGTGAGCATTTGCTGAATGCTTTTAGCCTTAGTGTTTCTTCTCCATGGCAATACTTTGAGCCTGTATTAAGTCTGTCTTGGCTATTACTGATCCATCTAGTTGGGTCAGTGAATATCTACTTCTGCAACGTGTACACACAATATTTCCTAATTTATTTAAAAGCTTTAAATAAATTGTTTCAATTCAATTACCCTTTTCCCCCATATTAACAGGAAGCCTTACTTGACCTTGACCTTTTTGCTTAATCCACTTGTTTTATAGGCCTATGTTTCATCTTCTTGTTGTAGGGTGATTAATGTACTTGCCCTTTCAGATGAGAAACTACCATCTTCCATGCGTTCACTCTACTTTCTCTTTTTATTTTAACTTCTCATATAGCTTAATGTGTTTTTGCTGGTAATTTTGGGGTAGATATTTTCCTAACTTGTCTGTTAAAAATGCTGGGTCTCTTTGTTTTTGTTTGAATGGCTCAAGTTCAGTAATACTCTTGGGCTATTCAGATCCTAATCAGCCACTTATTAAGAATGATTGTCATCTGCCCTGGTGTTGCCCAGTTGTCTGGCTATTTTTAGAGTGGTGGTATTTGTGACTTAAGTAAAGGCTGTTCATCCTGTAAACAAGCTGGATGCATAGCTGTGGTCTGAAGAGCTTGCCCAGACATTAAATGTAACGTCTGAATTGCAGGAGGGCCCTACACAGTTAAATGGCTTAATTATTTGAAATCCTTCTCGCCTGGCAAAAGTTAGTGTAGATGCATTTGCACTGGTACAAACATGTTTTTGCTTAGAGGGGTTTTATTTTGTTTACTGGAGCTTTGCACACAATAGTAGCAAGAAAGCGGGAGGCTTGCTGGTTATAGCCTTGGACAAAGAGACTGAAGAGGGGAAACCCTGCCAAAGTGTGGAGTGAGGAATTTGAGGATAGGAGCAATAAAAGACCACTTGAAGGCAGGAGTCTGGCAAAATGAAGGCTGTTGAGAAGAATTTCCATCATTTTCTGTTGTGTAACTTTAGCTTTCTATTCTATGTAAATATTTCTTTATTCTGGAGAAGGGGGGGAATTTCTTAAAGTTAATGTTTTCTTTTCCTTTTTTAAGGAAAAATATATTACCCTTTGAAATTGAGAAGATAAATTACTATACAATTTTTAAGACTTTGCAAGACACTAATAATGTTGTTTCTTAGGAGCCAAAATCTCTTCCAGTGTCTGATACTACACTTGTATTTAAAGCATTAGAGCCCAGAGTTCTGTGTTTACAAATATTTTGCAGAACTTTGGCGTCTCATTTCTTTAGTCCAGGTAGGCACCGATTTTTTGCTCTATCTCTAGGCTTACATAAAGTATACTTCCAGTTTATTCAGAAGCTTAAAAAAAAGGGGGTGGATTTTTTTTTCCCCCCCAGTAAAAATAGGTATCAAACCCTGTGTTCCTCAGGGATGGAGAATGTCACCTAGACACAAGTGGCATTCTTGTGGCCCCAGTCACAGCAAGAGCCAGTTCCGTGGGAATTGGTTGGCCTTGTTCAGTGGGTGTTTTCATCCCAGTTGGGGCTGTGTGCAAGTACTGTGGCCACTTGGATCAGTGTAGATACTGACTGGAGGGTGAGTTTATGCTTATCTGTACTGTCAGTACTAGACAAGCGTCATACTTGTTATACTTTTACACCTGACAATCCTCTTCAGGCTTTGAGAGTGCCATTTATAATTTTTGGGACTTGGACAGCGTATTGCTGCTGTCACGCCCTGTAGGTATTTCAAATACTAAATGTAGAGCTTTATCCGACAAACATTTTTGTCTTAGTACTAAGATGAGGTAGCATTTTTTTTTCTAAATTAAATGCAACTTAATCCATGGAATCGACAGTTGTATCTGGGAAATAGGTGGCAGGGAAATATTTTTTATGTTCAGACCTGCCTACTGTAAATACAGTAGCAGACAGATGTCACTTGTCAAATGGAAGTACTAAACACCTCAAGTTTGTGGTGACAAGTAATAATAAATTGTCTAGAACCCTTCTTAATCTATTTGGCTCCTTACTGGTGGCAACAGCTTCAGAAAACATTTGGAAAGCTAAAGTCAACTGTTTTAACTATTCCTTTGTGTTGATGCACAAAGACCTTACATGGTTATTTCATTCCTACTTAGAAATCCTGACAACAATCTTCAGATACTCTCTGGTTTTGGACTTTTCCCCAGAATAGTCCAGATGAAGTAGAAAGCTGAAATGGAAGGTGAATGCAGGTTCCATTAGGGACTGGTTTTCTGAAAGACATTTGAGGTCAAATGCAGCGTGATCTGCACTGGACTGCACTGCAAGAATTTTGGGAGAACCTTTCCTTTTGCTTATCTCTTGGTAAATCTACCTGTGCTGTAGTGTTTACAAACAGAAACACAAAGTCCTTTTCTTTGAAAATAAAAAACTTGACCAGAAAAAAAAAACAGGCAACTTCTCTAGCTTGTTTTTCGTAATGCTTAGTCAAAAGAAAGTGTTTAGGGTTGGGTTTATTAAAAGAGTTGCATAATGATAGGTGATTTGATTGGCATAGATGGACCTTCATTGGAAGACACTCTTGAAAACTGGATTCTTAGATCTCAGGGGGGGAAAAAAGGGTAGAATGGGAACCAGTGAACCTAAATGTCAGAGATCAGGCACAAATCCAGGAGGCTGAAACTGATAAACCATTAGAGTTTTCCACATTTTTCAGAGCAACTGCAAAGCAAACAAGCTAACTGATTCCATAGGTATATTACGAAATTTAGTTTCTTTAATACTCAGAAAATCAGGTTATATGATCTAATTGTCTCTCTAAATTTTTAATCAATTCCTGAAATTATCTGTTTGTTGATTTAGTGTTATTTGGGTACCTGTGGGTTTTCCTGCAGATCATACATATTTTCAATGTACTTTCAACTCCTGCAAAGCCAGTTCAAAGGCTTGAAAAATCTTTTAGTTACAAGTAACTCTTCTCAGGCAAAATCCAATGATGAAGCTGTATCTAAATTGTGTTTCCCTGAAGGAAAGAATGAACAAGTCTCAAAGGAAGAATTTCTTTAACTTAAAACTGAGCTACTTCATATCCATTACCAACCACTGTGTCATTGAGAAGTCATGCAAGGAGAGGGTACTTAAGACCAATTTTGAAAGATCTGGTAGCATATTTTAGAATTGTCACTGGCATCAGTGGATGCTTTTTTGCCTTGTGGGTGGTTCTTTGGTTTTATTTTTAAAGGGAGTAATTGAGCTTTTTTTCATCTGAAAGGAACAAACAATAAGTGTAGAAGTATAGGATTATTTTTTTCTGAAGTTGTCAGTATCAACAGAAAAGAGGTGTCCAACTGAGGTGGAAAATAAAAAATAGATATTTTAAAATGTATTTTCACCCATGGCTAAACAGATAGTATTATGGAATGGTTGTAATGTTCTTTGGTACTAATAGGATGCCAGGCTTGATTTCAGATATTTTTCATATTTACCAAATGTGTATTAAAATATAATGGTTGCAAGTATGTGAAAATCAGTTCCGAGGGGGTGGTGGTCTGGTCTTTTCTTTTTCCTAGTTGCATCTAAAGGGCACTTGGAGCACACACAGTGTGCCAGGATCTGCTTCTGGGAATTTCTGACTGTGACATCCACTTCAAATATCATTCACAGCTTAAACACATTAGAACCACATGGCTTACTGTCAAGTTAAAAAAAAAAAGAAAAGAAAATTTGCCTTTAGGACTATTTTGTTGGGTTTTTGTTTTACTTTGCTCCACTGTTTGAAAAGGCTGAAGCAGCAGATTTTTGAAGCTTCTGTAGTTTCTGTGTGCGTACCATGTTTTTGTGACTACAGTTTTTCCATTTTTAAAAATAAAATATGTTTCTCAGAACTCAAAATGCTGCATTTTTCCTGACTTTCACGAAACTTGGCAGTGAATCCTGTGTTCCTTCAGTGTTTCTCCATCCCCGGCTGAATGTGCTCAGAACTCCCCAGTGGTGAAGACTAGAGGCTTTTTTTTATTGTTGGAATGTAAAGAGTATCCAGGCAAAGCTTAAACAGTTTCAACTTTCAATTCAATAGAACAGGTTTACAATCTAGAGCTGTATTATTTGGCATTTCTTCAGTAGGGAAGTGATTTCAATTATTGAGATGATGGGAAGAGCAGAGTTGTTGTACTACAGCTATGTTTTCTCCTGCCATTGAGTATATATTTACTTTCAAATTCCCTAAGATGCATGTGTCTGCCTGCATAATACATTAGATTAATTCATGAGTCAGAAGAGGGTTGAGAATTTTTTTTTTTTCTGAGAATAGTCCATTGCATCTCAGGAGAAAACCCCCTGTTAGATTGCAAAAGGACAGAGGACTCGAGAACAGGGGAAAGAGGCATCACCTGCAATTTTATGTCCTTGTTTCTAATAATTAGAAAGGTGAGTGATAGTTGAGCATTTTTTTTTGTTTGTTTGGTTTTTAATTGAACCTTCATTTCATGTTTTGACAGTAATTGTACATTGTGGCACTTTATGCTTCTGGACACCAGATGGTGCTGCTAAACTGGCTAATGTGGAATTTTCACACTTTTTTACATAATTGATACTTGATTTAGTTTCAAAGTCAGGTCTGTACTTTCCAACCAGGTATATTCCAGGATGCAGAACTGTTCCTGGTAGCTCAGCCCAAAACCTGCTGTTTAAGGGCAGTGGTCTGAAAATCACCATGTAAACCAAGTGGGTTACAGAATCAATATTTTAGATCTCCCTGGCCAAAACTTGCCATCAGCTGGAGTTCCTCCTGGGAATACAGCTTAGTAACAAATCTTAATTTATGTACTTGACACTTCAGAGATTTGATTTATTAAATTGTCATTTAAATTTGATTTGATAACTGCAATCAGAAAACTTTGGGTGGAGGCACCTTCTAGTGCCAGGTTAAAACTGCAAAGGATAGTTCTAGAGACTAATTAAATATAATGAAGTGATGGGAGGGTTTGAGTTTGGTGGGGCTTTCCTTAGATATTATCTGTGTTAAGCTTGAGAAAGGCTGCCAAAAAAGCTGTTGCTATTTGTTTGAGAAGACACAATGGCTTAGCTATATAGTTGTACTGCAGACAATATTTATAATACTGCGATGTACATTTGGCATTTGATTTCTATTAATTTTCATTTGGTTATCGTGTTTAATAAATTCATCTGGTAATCCTAATTGTGGGGCTGAAGGGATGGAACAAGACACTTGTTTTTTAGCTGAATCCCAAATGTTGGTGGTGCAGTTTTATCACCGAACCGTAAATAATGGGTTCAGATTTATTTAGGCAGGGAGGAAATTTTTTGATAGATTTTACTGTATTTTTCTTAAAAGTTCTTATTTCTTTTATAGATCCCCATATCAAAGTTTCTGGAAAAAAGGAAAATGTTAAAGAAGCAAAAGAGAAAATCATGTCTGTCTTGGACACAAAAGTAAGAAAACTTATTTAGAATGACACCTTAACCCCTAATTTTGTGGTGACATTGATCTCTTTAACAGGCACATTGAAAAGGGAAGATATTTATGGGCACTTTGAAGCAAAGCCTCCAATATATGTCCTACAGATGTTGATATTGGTGTATACCCACATATTTAAACATTCTGCAAGAAACTACTTGCTTAAAGCAGCTTTTCCATATCTGAAGTATATAGAAATAATATTGCCAGCTATATGGCTAAAAGCATACATGGTTTGTTCACTGGATTGGGTTTTTTACTGTACCATCTGAAATACAGCTTCACTGCAAACAGTAGGTTATGCAACCACTTCAGAGAACCTAGAATTTTGTTTCTGTTTGAAATTCAATTTTAGGTGCATTCATGCAGTTTTATTTCTAATGGTTACTGTATTCTTACACTCTGAAACATTAGGACCAGAATATCTAAAACATCTAGATCTTGTCCAGGGGTCTCTTTATGTTCATCAGATCTTATTTTCTTGCAGTAGCAAGTCTTTTGGGGCAGTAGGTATGGCTCCTGTGTAGTTGTATGGTGACTTTCTGATCCTCTGAACACATTACCAAAAGGAACACTCCAGTGACAAGCACTATTTTTTGAACAACTATTAATATTATTATGGACTTTTAATAATATAGCTTTAAAGAACAGCTGTAGGCAGTGTTTGTGTATTTCAAAAATTCCTGTACCAGGAAAATTTGTTTGTTACAGGAGGGAAAAACACTTGCTTTGTCCCATGGCTTTGATTTGCAGTCTTCATCATGTGATCCTGTCAGATCAGACAGGGGTGTGTGACTGCAACTGAAAGGACACAGAATTAAGAGAAATTAGAATGGACCGCAAAAGGACATTTAAGTCACAGTTGATAAAAACTTGGGTGCATTTTAAAATCCTTAGACATTTTTTGAAGATGCATTTTTTTTTTGGTATTTATTTCCATGTTATTTCCTCACTGGGAAGAAAATGTGGCAAGTTTAGCATCCGACTATGATCCACATTAAAAATGTCCCTGAGTAGAAGCTAAGGCATGGCAAAAGTACTTTGGAAATACAATTTTGAATCTCGTTCTTGAAGTTACATTGCTCTTAAAAACTCAGGTTCTGCTGTGAACAGGTCTAATCGTGGGTGCTTGATTTCCAGAGCAATCGGGTAACCTTGAAGATGGATGTTTCACATACAGAACATTCTCATGTGATAGGTAAAGGTGGCAATAATATTAAGAAGGTGATGGAGGAAACAGGATGTCATATCCATTTTCCAGACTCAAATAGGAACAACCAAGCAGAGAAAAGCAACCAAGTAAGTATTGTTTAATACTGAGCTCATTTGTATTGTATTTCCTGAGAGTATGAAACATTTCTAAACTTCTTTCGTCAATTTGGGTTTTTTGGGGATAGTGAGTTCCTGTTCAGGGAAATAGATTTTTGGTATTTACACTCTGTGGAAAGCACAGGGCTTCCTAAGTGAGCAAATCTTTAAAAACAGATTGAAACAATTTGCGATGGCTCATGAATCACTTTAGTTTTTCTAAGCGGAAATTACTTTGTGCTTACAGAAGTCAACAACTTGGTGTGAATGGTAGAGAAGCAGTATGAAAAGATCTGTATTTTTTTTTCCCATTCAACACCTGACTTATTCAACATATTGATTAATTTCTTGGTGCTTTTTGCTTATGGTGTAACTTGGTTGAAGACTAAATTTTGTGGCGAGCTACCAAAAGTGAATGTCCTATTGTAAGAGTTCAACTTCATTAGATTAAGTCATTGAACCTGAATTGTACATCATTTCTAGTGCAAATATTGCTGAAATGTTTACTTTCAAGTCCCTCATCACTGTACTTAAAATTCCCTCTTGTGCATCCTGAGCAAAATACAGTCATTTCAAAACATTCAAGAAAACCTACTGTTGTTGAAAATTAGCACTGAGCACATGTATACAGTAGTAATTCCATTACTTGACCCAAACCACTGTATTGTTTGATGTATCCATTTTTTTTCCTAGTTGCTTAAACCTATGTAATGTAAGATGCTATAACATGCATAGATCATTTTTTAAAAAACCTGGTTATAGTTTTCAACTAGTGTTTAGAGAACACTGGTGTCACCAGGTTTGAAATAAGTGATTATTTTTTTTATTTATTTTTAGATTTCTTTTTGTAAGGGGAATACTGATAACTGAATAACTTTTTCAATGCCTCAGTTGAAAATGTGACGCAATGTTTTCTCTCTCCTTGCTCTTCCAGGTGTCTATTGCTGGACAGCCAGCTGGAGTGGAGTCTGCAAGAGTTAGAATTCGGGTAATAGTCTATTTTAGAATAGTGTTCCCTTGAAAAACACCTGAAAGGGAAAAAAAGTATAGATTTGAGGACCCTAGGGTTGTCTGGCTCTGTCTTATGACAGCAGAAACGTAGGAACAAATGTGAGTATCCATGTGAGTAATATGCAAAGGGTATTATAAAAGTGATCACCTTCTGGCTAGATTTTTAACTAGCAGGTGGGTCTTGAACACAAAGTCTACACGATAAACAAGATGTAAATTATTACACACTGTTGAAAATTACATCTTAACTTACCCACCACAGATGGCCTGTAGAAGCTTGGGCATCCAATGTCAAACTATGACTTAGGAAAGGCAATTGCTGCCTCTTAAATTTTAACCATTTTCATGTGTAATTTATGTAAATAATTTGGTGGAATTCAGCCATTTTCCACTCATGGCAATTTTCTATCCTTTCCTTCTAGTTTTGTGTGTTTTGGCATGGATAATTATAAGTTGTATAAATTATGGACAGTCCCTCGCAGTTGTTTGGTGAGATTTGTCTCTTACGCAACCTTGGTCTTAAAAATCATGAAAGAAGCTGATGTTTCCTTAGCTTTGTAGCTGACTTCAGACTTCCAGTTAATCCATGACAGAAAGGAGACTTCTCTAGCAAGTTTTACAAATATTGACCTGTTTGTAGATCTGCATAGATAAGTAAGGGAATCTACTTGGCTTTCTTGTTGTTATGTAATTGCAAATGCTTCTGCTATTTTGAATTAAAAAACCCAAACAAACAAAAAACAACAAAGGCTATGCAAGAAAACCCCACTCTAGTGTCCCTGGAAAAATCGGTGCCATATTGCAACTGATGATATATTTTTATCAATGAACTCCGGGCAGGGGATATATTATGGCAGTTTAATCATCACTGACCAACACATGATTGAGGAATAAAGTTGTTTCAGTTTTAATGAGTATGATTTCGGTTTTCAATATTTGGTCTTCAATGTTGTTGTAGGAGCTGCTTCCATTGGTACTCATGTTTGAATTGCCTATTGCTGGAATTCTTCAACCCATCCCAGATCCTAATTCTCCGACAATTCAGCATATATGTCAGACATATAATATTTCAGTTTCCTTTAAACAACGCTCTCGAATGTATGGTGCTACAGTCATTGTCAGAGGGTCACAAAATAACACTAGTGCTGTGAAGGTAATGTGTCTTCTTAGTTCATAATGTAGATACCTAAGAAGTGTATTGGTTTAAAAATGCACAGAAAGTAGTTTTAAGTTTACGATTTAGCGTTGTTTATGATAAGCTTTTAATCTGGTTTTCATCTCTTGCACGCTGTTCAGGTTTCCAGCAATGCTGGAATATGTGCTGATCTTACCCATCTTTTAATTTAAAGAAACCCCAAACAAAAACCAGAGAACACACCCCCCATCTTAAATTCTTCATGCTTAGCTCTTCTCAACATACACTCAAATATATAACCTTGAAAGTTGCCTGAACAGTCAATAAAACTGATCTTGCGAAACCAGCACTGGGAGATGTGAATTTGACAGTCAAGGAAAGGAACTGCCATGAGCCTGTTTATCTTAATAAAATAGAGTATTCTTGTGAAGAACTGGCAGTATGAGAGATTGATATGGTCCCAGATGGGTGTCCCTCAAGCCAGTAGGAATATCTTAGGCCAAAACTGAAAGACAAATTTTGCATGTAATCTTACCCAAATAAATCTGTCGACTTTCTTATTGCCATGTGTGGCCACAGAAGGTCTGTTGAGACCAAACCATGCGACATTGTCTTACTGCCTTTTTCAGAAGCAGTGAAATGCTGCACTTGGTCATCAAATGGGAGTTAGTGGGTAGAGTTTAGTCCATTTATTACCCTTAACAAATCAATCGTGGTTTTAAACCAAACAGTATTTTCTTTACCTTGCCTGACAAGTGCATGACAAGTAAGGAAGCACTCTGAGCCTGTGAGCATTATTTCACCAGTTTCCTTCATTTCCCCCCACCTCAGGAAGGAACAGCCATGCTCTTGGAACACCTGGCTGGGAGCCTGGCCTCTGCAATCCCTGTGAGCACACAGCTGGACATCGCAGCACAGCATCATCTCTTTATGATGGGTCGGAATGGCAGCAACATCAAACATATCATGCAGAGGACTGGTGCTCAGATCCACTTCCCTGACCCCAGTAACCCACAGAAGAAATCCACTGTCTACCTCCAGGGCACAATTGAGGCTGTCTGTCTTGCCAGGCAATATCTCATGGTAAATACTTTTCAGCGAGACTTGCACAAAAAAGCTGCCAGATTATAGAAAATATGCTCATTTGGCACGTGTTTATGGCTCAAGTTGTAAGTTAGCCTTAGAGAGGGAGGATTGCTACTCACACTGCAAAAAGCTGATTCAGTTGAGTGCTCTATTTTTGTCAGTGTTTGCAGTTATCTAAAATATTTGTAGTCTCTGGTAACATGATTTGAAAAATGACCTTGGTAATATAAATGCATCATAAGCAATTTAAATTTATGATAACGATATGCTTCTGAGTAGAGGCAGATTTTTGGAGTGTTCTGTTAGTGTTGGATGATGGGTTGTGTTTTGTTTTGCCAACCTGCCTTTTCTGTGTTTGTCAGGTAAGTAGGTTTCTTTTGAGAGGAAATGTCAGGAATTTCTTAGTTCCCACGTAGGCAAGTTTTCAATGCAATTGGGAAACCATAGGAAATCATTACTCATTCTGCAGTCTTACATTCTTTTATAGTATCATAGCTACAGTTCTATGAGGCCTTTTATAAAAATAGCTCTGGTGATGAATATTGTTTGTAGAGATTTTTGTTATATTGGTCTTTAAACCTCACAGGAGCCTTTAGGCATTTTTTAGTGCTAATTTATGTACACCTTTTTTATATATGTGAATATTTATGGACAAAACATGGGAGCCCTGGACTCAAATCCAATGCAAAGCTGGTAAGAGATTAAACCATGGTACCTTTTAATTCCAGGAGTCCCCATGTGTGTTACAATGCACTGTGCCTTGCTCTATATTAGAAAATAAAAATATGTTGCCTTTCTGTTTAATACAGTTATATTCAGATTATGGTGTTCTAGAATATTATTGTCTGTAAATGCCAAGAGATAGCCTTATTCTACGTACTTCTTTGGTGAGGTTTATGTAGTGCTTTTCTGATGGTTCATGAAGTAGAAGGAAATGCAACCAAACTATCACATGAATATCAAAGTACATATTTTCTCTAAAAACTTGGAATTATGTGAGAGCTTTTTTTTTTTTTAATACTGAAGTTTTATTTCATTCCAAACACATCAGTACAACTTAATATCCCTCATCACATCCACTGCATCACCCTTTAAGAACTGTACAGACCAGGAAACTTGGTCTCCCTTTGAACTCACAGACCTCACATGTCCTGAAACTGTTTCCAGTTTTGTAGATAAAACAACTCTTGTTTAAAATGTTCTTGTTCTCTTTCTTCCTCTCACCCCAAAGGCTTTGGTTTCAGCTGTATTTTTGTCATCAAAAAATACTGAGACTTGCTTTTTGTTAGTTGTTCGTATAATAATGAGGACTGTACCTTATTTAAATACAGACAACATTGACGACTTAGTTTTTTTAATCCAGTTCCTGTCAAAGAACATTTGTTTCTTTTCTTCCCATCATCTTCATGCATATGCTCTAAACATACAATAATCAAGTGGTAGAGGGGAAAAAAGAGCCTTTTAATATGCTTATAAAACCTGACTTTTCAACCTGTAAGTTTTGGGGTTTGTGTTTTTCTTGTTAGCCTTGAGTTGCATTTTCATTCAGCAGGCTTTTGGTGAGATCTTCTGGTATTATTTTCTGCAACTTTTTTTACAATAATATTTTGAAAATCCAAGTATGAAATGCTCCCAGCAGTTCTGTTACTGTTAAATCCTTGAATATTGACTTTAGTGGTTTTAGATAGACTATATCTATAATTATTCTTTTCAGACAAGTTCATATTGTGGTGTTAAGCTGTGCTTGTCAGTCTTCCTGTGGTCAAAATATTTAGGATGCCTTGCTTTAATTTTCCTGAAGTCAAAATTGCTTTAATTGAGGTTTTGGTAGTACTGTGCAGCTGTAGGTGGTACTCTCGAGAAATGCTATTTAATATTAAATTATACTGAACAAGTGATCTGCAGACTAAATACACCAATTTGCTGCTTTTCATTCTGAAGCCAAAGCAGGAAACTGATTCATTAAGACCATTTCCTTGACTATATCTTACTGTGGATTTTTCCCTGACACATGTAATACTATTTATTGTGAACCTAAATTCACCAGAAGTAGGATTTGCTTTTTACTGACTTTTTACCCTCTATTTTTGTGATTTTATGAGAAGTAGCAATCTGATAATTTCTAGATATCCTGTGACAATTCAGTTTTTTGTTGTTTCATTGGTCTGGGCCTTTTTTAGGGATTTTTTTTTTTTTTAACTCCATAAGGTTTTAGTACTGGAATTGTGTTACAGATGTCATCCACATCACTAGAAAATATTTATCCAGCTGATCTGGGACAGGGGAAGAGAAAGGTAAAAGCTAAGACTTAAGCATTGGTGATTTACAGAGAAGGTTTTTAGAATGAGACATTTCAGTGTGAGGCCTCCTATCAATTCCTGACAGGACTTTTTTCTAATTTAATAAGTAGTAGTGGTTTCTGAATTTGAATTCCCTGGACACCTCTAAGTCTGTATAAATAACTAATCAGGGTGCATATGTGATGATTGGAATGCCAAATATTTAACAAATCATTTCACCCCTAAAGTAACAAACTGTTCAGACTCCCAGGGCAGAAAAATACACCTGTGTTCTTGCATACAAGGAAACGACTCTCCTTAAAATTTCATACTTGCTTTTTTTTCCCCCTGAACTTCTGGTATCATGATGTGTAAACGTTACAATGTCTATATTTCAGTTTGTTGCTAACATTTGCATGGGAAAAGGGTCAGTTATAAGTGTTGGGAATTTTTTGTGCCTTTCTTTTCAGGGTTGCCTTCCTCTTGTGCTCATGTTTGATATGAAGGAAGAAATCGAAGTAGAACCCCAGTTTATAACACAGCTAATGGAGCAGTTAGACGTCTTCATAAGCATTAAACCTAAGCCAAAGCAACCAAGCAAGGTTTGTGCAAAGCTAATATATCCCTTTTAGGCTGTCGTGGCAACTTTATAGAGCCGATAAGTTGACATGTGTGCTCTTCCTCTCTAACTTAATGGATCATAAACTTGTAAAAGGCATATATATTTTGTGCTTGAAATACCAGTTTAAATGATCCAGCAGCTCTACTTTATGGTAATTTGACTTTCATTAAATGTTTGATAATGCAGAAGTTAGCTTTTGCATGGAATATACTGATAAAGGAAATGAATTACGAGGAGACAAATTGTATCTGACTAGAACTTCTCTTGACTGTTTTTTAAAGAAATTCGTCTAAAATTGCAGCTTCCCCACACAGTCACAGTGTTCTTTAGCAATCAGAATTAAACAAAAATAAAAAAAATATTGTGACTAGAAGAAATGTTGCTGTTACATGCAAGATATTGGAAAGAGTCACGAAAAGCAGAAATACAAAATACTTCTAAAAAAGAGGTGTTCATTGTAAAATATTCCAGTGTCTATGGGTAAAGGACTCTGCAGTTGTCTGTGTGGTTGTATATAATGCCGTAGCAGGCAAAACCTTGAAATATTAAGTGATCATTCCACTGTGTCAGTAGGTAAGCTTCCCTGTGTAGGGATATATAAAATCAATACGAAGAAACACCCTGTAGAGCATGTACAAGAAACAATGGGGTTTTTTTGCAATATAATTTTCCAGGTATCTATTACTTTATTCTCAGACAGCTAAGAATTGAATAGCTGAATTTAATATGAACAACTTTTCTTGTCCACTTCAAGGTGTAGACCGCAGGTAAAAGAGAAGATAAGATTTTAATTATTGATTCACTTATCTAGATCTTGGGGCACTTAACATTTGGTGTGCTAAATAGCACCAAGGTACAGTAATAATTAATTTTCTTAAGACAGGGAGGTCTTCCATCATTCTCATTGCAAGTGCACATGAAATCCCTAAACTCACTGTCAAGGCCACTGGATTTGAGTAGCTGGTAATAGATGTTAGCTCATGCTGTCTCACAGGGCTATTATTGATGGCCATGGAGAAGTACTAAGAAGAGTTATCTGTGTTGCAGATCTACCTTAAGAAACTGCATTACTCACTTATTTTCCTTTTCTGTTGTTTTTCGTTGTTTTCCTCCCCTACAGTCTGTGATTGTAAAAAGCGTTGAACGAAATGCCTTAAATATGTACGAGGCACGGAAATGTCTCTTGGGACTTGAAAGTAGTGGAGTCACCATAGCATCAAGTCCCTCTACTGTCTCGTGCCCTGTTGGTCTGTCTTGTCCTGGTTTGGATATTTTGTCCTCAGCAGGACTTGGACTCACTGGGCTCGGTATGCATTTTTTTATATTTATATTTTTATGTTTTTAATAGATATCTATTTGTTTGAAACTTAATTCATTTGTACTAGAAAAAGGGACCAGATGTGTGTTTTGCATAAGTCGTGTTAAGGCATTAGAGAATTCCAACAGCATCTGACCTTTCAAGGGATTGTTGTTATAAAACTTCCTCCAAGGCTTTTGTAATCAGGTGTGTGACTCATCCCTGCAGGAAAAAAAAATCTCTGGAAGTACTCAAACCACTCAGCTGAAGGTGAAAGGGAGGGAAATACAGGTGAGGTAGGATGTGGCTTTTACCATGTCATTGGCAATGTGATGTCTCAAGCTGCCCTGAATTTGTGTAGATGCTGAAGCCTGTCACCAGTACATGGAATTTAACACAGCTAACAGCACACTTCAGTTCTGGCTGTATTTCACTGTAATGGAGGGATACACGAGCTTCTAGTTTAGACCTTGCTTATTGGTATGTAATTCAGGACAGAAATGTGTAAGCTTCCTGTCTTAATGTAATTTTACAGAAGTAGATCATAGTCCAGGCTGGAATTACTGTTTTATTTTCAAACTTTGTATCAGAAAGCCAAGCAGTCCCAGAAGAATTTTGTGACAAACCTTGACACTGGTTCGTGAAACTGAGTTCTCGTGTCACCACTGTGCTCCCTTGTGACCTGCCACCCAGGAGTGCTGTGTGGTTCCATGTCACAGGCTGCCCTGGGGTCACACAGGGGCAAGTGTTTGTCCCCTTTGACAGTGGGTGTTAATGCTGCTTTTGTGACTGTTCCTGTCATGCCTGCACTTTGGGGGGTTGGGGTTTTTACCTTTTTAGTGTATAGTGCTGAATTTATAAATCTTCTAACGTGAAGAGCTGGTTTGAGGGAATGCTTTGGCAGTCAGCAATGCATTTGGGGGGTGGTTTGCAGTCAGCACTGAAGATGCAAAAAGGAATTGAATAGTCCTTAGTGTAGAAGTGGTGATTCATTCATAGGAGCTTCTGAGGAAAGGGTTATTGTCTGAAATGAAAGTAAGGTGGTGTAGTGCAGTTGGTTTCTTGTGTGATGCTGCTTTGAAGCAAACCATCAGAAGCAATACAGAGGATACAAAGGGATGGTGGGGCTGAGAAGCAGCTGGTGCAGACTGTTATGACAGGAGTTAGGGTCCAGTAAAAGGACATAGAAGATGCTGCAATTCTTCTTGGATATATGATTCCAAGTTCAAGAACAGGCATTCTTAGTGTGCTCTGTGCACCAAATGAACAGCAGGGTTATTGTTAAAATTAGTTTGTGAAACATGTGCTGGTGCAATTTAGTGGGTGTTTGTTTTCAATTGGTACTTCTGTGAAAAATCATTTTCTGCAGGTCTTATCTAAATATTCACTTGCATAATTTTTTGCAGGCCTTTTAGGTCCAACAGCCCTGTCAGTCAACACCTCAACTGCTCCAAACTCTCTTTTGAATGCCCTTAACAGCTCTGTGAGCCCCTTGCAGAGTCCAAGTTCAGGCACTCCTAGTCCCACGTTATGGGCAACATCTCTTGCTAACACAAACACCACAGGTTGGTGCAAGTTTAATGTGAATTACGTGATCTGTGCAACACTAAGTCATCAGAGTGACAATTGATGAGTCCAGAATATTTCATTCTTTGGAACCTTAATTCCTACATTTATCTTAACATGGATGGATGAATAAATATGCAAAATTAAAGTTATAACTTAATATAAACTTATGACATGCAGTCCCATGCCATGTTTTCATCTGTTTTATAAAAAACAACTAAGTTAACCTATCCAGTATTGGGTAGATAAAGCAATTTTTTTTTGCATGTAATTCTAATGGAAACCTTTTAGTAATGTATCACAGCAACATAAAGATTTGTATAAAGTAGTATAACGCCTGAGAAAATTAAATGAGAAACTTAATCAGAACATAACCAAATTTCGTTCCAGGTTTTTCTGCTATTCCACACCTAATGATACCATCTACTGCCCAAGCAACCTTAACTAGTATTCTGTTGTCTGGAGTGCCTAATTATAGTCAAAACACTCCATCTCCACCACCAGGCTTGACTCCTGTCGAAGTCCACGTTAATGGCATGCAATCAGAGAGTAAAAAAGGCTCACCTTCTTTAAATGGTCATGTAAAGGTAGGTGGTGTCTCTGGAGAACCAGATCTCTTTGTAATAGACCTCTGCTAAGGAAAGCTGAAAGAGAAAACTATCCATGTTAGTAGTTCTTAAAGCTTTTCAGTTTATAAATATAACAGCAGCGTTTTCAAATATGACTGAAAAGATTGACAAATGGAACATTCAAACGTATTGTTCTCCTGTACCGGCGATGGGTTTCTTTTTCTCCTGCACAGATAGAAAAGGGAAATTGCTTCAGTATTTCCTTAAGCATACAAGTCACTTTAGGGATTTTTGACAATCGTTTCAGGCCTCAAATATCAAGTATGCTGCACTGTCTGCCACATCGCTGGGGGAAAATGTGTTGAGCGCGAACCACAGTGATGCGGTGAGACAAACAAGTACTCATGGTGCCTCAGAACAAGGAGCTGCCAAGTCAAACAGTGAAGACGGTAAGATTTTGATGTTGCACTCCTTTGTCTGGCAGTGTTTGCGCAGTCTGTGTGCAGTTTATGAAACAAAAGCATAAAGGTATTCCCTGTGCATTGGTTTTGCAACCACATTACAGGAAAACAATCCTGGATCTCACAGATTCGTTGTCAAAGAAAGTAAATAGAAGTAGTAAGTGAGATGTGCTGTTGATACACCTTAAATAACCTAATGCAGTTGTAACATTTCACACATTCCCTAAGAACAGAGGGAAATAACCCACAAGGATTTTAGTTTTCTTTTTGCAGCAGCTTAACCGCCTTGCTTAAAACAATCTCTCGTGGTTTGAAATGATGTTTTATTTTTGCTTTTTAACAAAGGGAAGCAATTAATGCCTTTGAGAACGTTATTGCAGAAAACTGTGTAGAACACACAGATTTGTTCAGAATGCTTAGTCACTTCTAATTGTCAGTCTTCACATTTAATACTAATCAATTTTAATTAAAATAAGTATCTTAAAAAAGAGAATGCTTAGTGTGTCTACTATACACGTGAATGCTAACACCTTTTCTGTACATTTGAACTTACATACCTGACTTCTTAACCTTAACCAAGAAGACCAGAACAGTTCTGTGAGGAGGAAGAGCAGATTTTTCCCATAGTTGTCATTCCTTCAGTAAGTTCACTAAGCATAAAAGGGTGGTTGTTGTTTAACTATTCTTTTTATTGGTCTTGTAGGTTGCAATGATGCTTTTGTAGAAGTGGGCATGCCAAGAAGTCCTTCCCATTCAGCAAATACCAGTGATCTGAAGCAGATGATGAGCTCTTCGAAGCAGGCCTGTGCCAAGAGGCAAACGGTTGAGTTACTGCAAGGCACCAAAAACTCTCACTTACAGTAAGTTGAGTGTATAAATACAGATTAATGGGACTTTCGCAATACAAAATTACTTAATATGTTTTTATACATGGAAGGAGTGGTTCACTTGTAAGATACTCAAAGAACTGATTTAATTTGGCTTGGATTTTTAATCACATCAGATGTTGTTATAGCCCCCAGTTTGTCTGATAACTGCAAACTTTTTGTACATCATAAGTAATTTTTGTTTAAAAAAAAAAAAAGTCTTTCTTCTCTCACAAAAGAGTAGGGATTTTTGTCAGAGGAACTTGCATTACCCGTTTCTAAAGGATATATTTTTTTGCACTTTCCTTTTTTATTGAGTGCTTTGAGAATAGCTCCTAACTGACAGCTTTTTCCTTTTGTGTGTACCTGAGGCTGTTTGCTTCTTAGAAAACCAATATTCAGGGCATAAGAGCATGTTCTCAAACACTTGTTTCAGTGTTTGGTTGGGTTGTTGTTTTTTTTTTAATGAGACAGCAGTGGGAAAGGCTCTTTTGAGTCATAATATGTCTTGGCAACACAGGTTTTGTTCTTCATGCAATGTTTTTGTCTGATGTACTTGTGTTTTCACTATTTCTTTGGGAACTGTTTATCACCACTCTTTTGAGACGCATATTTTCTTTTGCTTCATTTATTTACACTGTTAAAGCTATGATATGTATTTCATTAACTCTGCTCTCTTAGTTTAGAAATCCAAGAATTCCTGCTAACCAGATTCACTTGTTTGTATGTCAGTCAGTTGTTGGTATGCCTTGTTCTTTTTGTCGAGGACACAATGCTCACAGTGTCCCTAGGGCGTATTTTCAGGGTAGTAGTTTACAGCTTCTACCACATGATCACTTTACTTTGATTAAGACATCACTGTTCTAGAGTAGCCTGAAATGTGGCTGATTTTTTTAAGAAAAGAAAGTAGATTGCATTAGGAGGTAAGGTAGGCATGTAGGACTGCAATTCTTAAAGGCATGTAGGACTGCAGGTATTGAAACTTTAAAAGCAAGTCGGACCTATGTTAAGTTTCTTAGTCCCTTGTTATGCAATCTCTATCCTACAACTACCTGTTAGGATCTAACAGGTAACATAGGTAGGATCTATGTATTAGAACTACCCTACCTGTTAGAACTGTTAGAACTACCTACCTGTTAGAACTGCTGGCCTGAGCAAGGCATTCAATAATTCCAGATACCAGACAGCTCAGAATTGGTAATATAGGAAGGAGCAATACATGCTTTCTTTCACCAACAAATAGGTACAGGAGAGCTGAAACTTTTGGAAATATTGCTAAAAGATGTTTGTGTACTGACATGTCTTGAATTTTACTGCCAGACTTCTCAGGGTAAAGCTCGATTACCAAAACTGCATTGCATGTTCACTGCTTGTAAAAAGATCAGTGAGTTAACAGTGCCTTTGCCCCCGCAGCACTGCAGAGAGGCTGCTCTCAGACGCAGAGTTAAGTGCCTCCGAGGGCCCCGTGGCTGATAAGAAGGCTCCTGGCAGTGAACGGGCAGCAGAGCGAGCAGCGGCCGCCCAGCAGAACTCTGAGCGAGCACGTCTGGCCCCGCAGCCCTCCTATGTCAATATGCAGGTACGTTCTCCCTGAGCACAGCCAATTCCAGCTTAAAACCTTGATAATCGCTGAGTGAAGTTACCACGGAATGCACAGGCGACTGGAGACTGAATTGTCATTAGCATTCAGTAAAAGCATTCACAGCTAAGTCATTAACTCCTTTGAGCGAAGAGTGGGCTGTCAACGAAAATTCTTGGAAACAGAAAAGCTCTTGTGCTTCTGTTGAATAAGGAAAATTGAGGTACAGAAAACTTGGGTGGCTATATTAGTCTACATAAGCATCATTTGCCTTTTATAAATCTTATATTGTTGCTTTGAGAGAATTACATCTGCAGGAGACGTTTTACAACTTTCCATAAGCAGTGTCAACACAATTTTTTTTATAGCTTCAGGTTTTATATATGGGGCTTAATTACAATGGTTTTGGTAATACAAATGTGAATCTGTACATATACTCCTTTTTCTTTTCTCTTGTACTGTTCCTATCTGCTAAACTACAGCCTATTACTATAAATGTTATTGCAAATCTCTCCAAGGAGGGAGGGAGCCCCCTTTGACTACTTTGTAAGGCAGTAGTAACGGGGTAGTTTTCAGTATAGATCTATCAGTGTGGGCATAACCAGACTGTGAGGAGCAGTGGAACAAGATGAAGGTTAGTGTTTTGCAGCTCTTTTCCTTAGTTATTCCCCTAAATATTTTTAGTAGAGAATGTAACACTTCAGGCTAATACTGTAGTTTTATGTGTTTAGGCTTGCCAACTTGTAATTCAATCAATTGTAGCTTGTTTGATATGGGGTATTTAAACTTCACATCTTCCATTGTCATAGGTAGTACAGATACAAGGTTTTTTAAAATTCTCTCAACAATTCTTTCCCTTTCACAAGATGAGTGTGTGGAGGAGAACTAAACTTGAAAGATTATTAAAAATAACCATGATGCCTAGATTTGCTAAGATATATTTTATCTTTTTGGTACTGTTGGGGAATGTTTTAAATGCTGAGTACAGATGGTTAAGGAAGAGAAACTATGCTTGAAAAAATGTCTTATTAAAAACAAATTAAAGAAAAAGTCTGCCTAAGCAGTTTGTAAATATTGCTAGACCCTCACTCAAATGGATATCGGATAGTTATTTAAAATCTTTGTTTCTGTGAACACTTTAAGTAACTAAGGCTCTAATTGGACTTTCATCAAATTATTGTGCAGTACTTCAGGTTTCTCCTAGATATATTCACTGGCCACTCTAAAAACCTTTGTTTTCACAAAGAGATGAGTACTGGAGTGACATTTAACTAGAATGGCAATTAAGCTATCTTCTGCATGTTTAATTTTTAGGCATTTGACTATGAACAGAAGAAACTACTAGCAACCAAAGGTATGTGCACAAACAGTGACTTCTGAAAAGTTTGTTAGTACATGGATGAAATGATTTTTCTGAAGTTTCAGTTTTGTAATTTGATTTTTAATCAAATCTGAAACTGGTAGCGAAACACTTGTCTCTTAGTTCTATGTTCCAAAAGATTTTTAATACCAACATAGCATAAAATACAATATGAACAGAACAGCTTGCAGATGGAATATATAAGTATATCCATATGGAAATGATCCATATTGTCTTCGGAGTGCTCATAACCGTAATACTTGACTTTATTTGGATGCAAATTAAACTTTGAGATGTTTGTCATATTGGCTAAATGGCTACTTACTTCAGGGATTAATTAAGTTACAAAATTGATAAGGGACTTAACCATATCTTTGACCTTGTTAAAAAAAAAAAAAAAAAACAACCAAAAAACAACAAACACGCCAAAAGAAAACCAGAAGCTCCTCTTTTTGAAACAGATATGATTCTTTTGGTCTCCATGCAGCCCTATGGGGCTTAACTGTCTTCTGACAGAGTAAATTGCCTTAAGGAAGGGCAGGATTCAAGCTGTGTAGCAAGTGGAGGTGTTTGGAGTTTACTGTTTGAGCTGCAGTTACCATTCATGACTGCAGGATTATCCTCTCAGTACCTCAAGGCTGAGATTTACTGATTTGTCTCTGTATTTTTTCAGCTATGTTAAAGAAGCCAGTTGTAACAGAAGTGAGAACTCCAACAAATACATGGAGTGGTTTGGGGTTCTCTAAATCCATGCCTGCAGAAACTATCAAGGAACTAAGAAGAGCAAATCATGTATCGTACAAGCCATCCATGACAACTACATATGAGGTATAAAAAAGTATATTGTAAGGGAAGTTTACTTTTAGTAAGTGATACAGTTATTTCTCTTGAGAAATGTCTATAACTTCTGTAAAAAGAAGTCTTGCAGATAAGATATTTAATGTTCTGAATGTATTTTATGGTGAAAAATGCTTCTTACATAAATATTAAGGCATATGGAATACGTTCAACCCAACACACACAGTTATATCTGTTTTATAGATCTTATAGAAGTCACAGAGCATAGAAGTCTGCTTAAAATATATTTGTTTAAAGAAACTTAAAACAACTTATGGGGCCAAATATCTCAGTTGTTGCAGACAAGCAGCAGAAATTTGGTAACCTAATGAAAACAGTGTATACATAGCAGATAAACTATATAATGTGAATCACTGCATGGTGGAGCAGAACATCAGAACAAGAAATGTCTGCAGCTCATCTTATGTTGACAGAGCTGTAGAACTATAACAGCTTTCTCGATTTGCACTGTTCAGTGGGCCCAGAAAGTTCCCAGGCAGAAGGCAGCCAGAGTCCAGCAAGCCTCTTCAGAGTCCCAGCATGGGAATCTTGCAGGGAATTTGTTCTTTTCTTTCCAAAGGCATTCGGAAGTTGATTTTTAGTGTGTTTCCTTGCTGGAATCTTTCCCAACTTCCGTATTACACACCTTTTTCAGTCCTACTTATATAAAATGTAAATAGTATGTTTATGCAGCTTTTCTCTAGAGTATACCTAGCTTTTGATGCAAAAGAAATATTCAACCATGATAATGTGCTGTGGTGTTCTCCAGCTGACATGGCAACTTTTTGAGTCATTCTGCTTGGATACACATAATGCAGTAGGAGCTAGGGGAGAGAAAAGGTACAGCCAGAATTTCTGGTTATTTGTTTTATTTTTTGGTTGAACTGTGGTGGGGTTTTTCCACAGACCATGATGTCTAAAGTCTCTAAGTGGGTCTGTCATTCCAACCAAGAACACTGTGTCTCAGTCACTTGGAATCTGCCCATGAGCAGACCACAGACCACGGCAGCTCTCTCCAGTGAAGCACTGGACTGTTAGGACTCCAGTTACCATTGTTTGGGATGAGCTATTGTGGAAACATCTGGGGAGGCTGAAAATCTTGGATTCCTTGTAGTATCCTCCTCTGCTTAGCAGTTTTCAACACCATTTGTATTGGAGACTGTGCCACCACACTTCCAATGCATGTGCACCTTTGAGAGTCATGTGCTGAAGTCTTTGAGAAGATGAAGTTTTGGTATCACGGTCTAATGCCTGGGAAGTTAATTTGTAAATAAGCTCACCAAACATATTTCATCTTTGCTGTGGTATTTTACTGTGCATTCAGTTTTCCAGAAACATTGGATGACATCTTTTTTTAACTTGACAACTCTTAGACATCATTATGATCTCATGTAAGGTAGAGGCCCTGTCTCTTCTTGCTCTTCTGTAAGACTTGAAGTCAATCCTTACCTTCCTTCTTTTCTGTAGCCATACTAAATCTAGCTCACACCTTCCTAATTTTTACCAATGATAAGGAGCTTTTGCCTTGTTTCTTCAGTGCTGTCAATTTTACCGAATAGTATAAAAGATTGCTGTGTCCTAAGTGATATTTTTCAATTGCAATTTGGTGTAAGTGTATAGAATGAAATTGTTCATTTCCACAATTTTTTGGCTCATGTAAGTGTGTAGTATCAATGTCAATCTCTTTTGTGTATGTCCCCACCAAATACTGTTACCTTATTTTGGAACGTTCTCACCCACAGCAATGAGAGATCATGAGTAGTATTTTACAGGAATATGAAATCTATTAAAAACAAACAAACAAAAACAAACAAAAAACTTCCTACAAACAAAACTGCAAATTCACAGGCCATTGCAGAATTGTTGTAATATTGTGTACTTTAGGCACTTATCTTCAGATAAATGTTCTGTTATGTACTCTTCCCTGTGAAGGGATGTAGTCAATAGACTGCTTTGTCTAGAATTTGTGTGGGAATTTGATACCATGGAATGTTTTGGAAACAAACTTGGAAATACCGAGCAATTTATTTTGAATCATGGTCTTTAAATAACTCCTGCTTCAAAACTGTAAACTGTGTATGTTTTAAGCACACCTGCTGTTTTCGTGTCCAGTTTGCAATTATTTGACTATTGATCAACTGCCAAAAGAATGTTTGCAAGCATTTTTTTATTTTTTTTTTTTTTTAGAACTGAACTGTTTCAAAGAAAACATCTGAGTCACAATGAAACCTCTGTTTTCTGCCCAAACTTTCCTTCTGTGATTTGCAGGGTTCATCGATGTCTCTGTCCCGGTCCAGCAGTCGGGAGCACCTGGGAAGTGGCAGTGAATCTGATAACTGGAGAGACCGTAATGGGCTGGGACCCACTGCTCATGATTTTGTCTCCTCAATTGGCAGCCCCAAACGGAAACAAAACAAATCAGGTTAATAAACTCTTTAATACCTGATTTTAAAAAAAATCATATTGATATCAATATTTATTTTAATATAAATGTATCCTGACATCACTAGGGATTTAAATTACTGACACCTGACAGCTTTGGGGTTTTTTTTTTTACAATTTGCAATGTCAAAGCATATGCAAGGTAGTGTAACATGATATATACAAATAATGGTTCAAAAGGCAAACTTAAGGAAATTTTATAAATGCCAGACATTCTTGCTGGAAAGCTCTTTGCTGTCATGGAAGCGGTTTTTCAAGGTGTTCTGAAACCAGATCTTTATAAAAGTTTATTTCTAGACTGCCATTGTTCTGCTATGTTACCAATGCCAGGTCTTTATTGGGCTACTTGCTCACTGAAGGAGTCATAATCTGTGCTAATATTGAATTTTAAAGCACGATTCTCTTCATGGGAATCAAATTTACAAGAGCATGTAGTGACAGGACAAGGGGGAATGACTTCAAACCGAAAGAGTAGATTTAGATTGGATATTATGAAAAAATCCATTGCTGTGAGGGTGGTGAGGCCCTGGCATAGGTTGCCCAGAGAAGCTGTGGCTGCCCCATCCCTGGAAGTGTCCAAGGCCAGGTTGGACGGGGCTTGGAGCAACCTGGTCTAGTGGAAGGTGTCCCTGCCCATGGCAGAGGCATTGGAATGAGGTGATCTTTAAGGCCCCTTCCAACCCAGGCCATTCTGTGAAAAGAAGCCTGTCCGTGTTTTGGGCATGGCCGAGCACGTGAATTTAAACACTGGTTTCCGTGGATACAGGCTGTACCTCTGGTAATTACTTTTTAAACAATATTTGAAATTTACAAATTAAAATATTGTATTTTAGTTCAACACTTGGAAACTTCATTTCATTTTTTAAATAACTTAATAGATGCTTTTTTGAAAGAAAGAAAAGTGGAGGTAGAAAACACTAGTCCATACTACTGATCTGCATTATGAGGAAATAAGTACTGTGGCTGATTTTACTCTCTTTTGTTGCATTTTTCTTTTAAAAACCTAAATCCCAGATTAAATTCCAAGTACACAGATAATAAAATTTGGGCATTCTAGGAAAGGATATCTTCAAACACAGAAAATACACCGGAAGTGGAGGAAATTGTTCTACAGCAGCTGCAGCTTTCCCAGAGAATGGAAGGTGTAGAGGAAGGATAAAAGAAACATCTATGAGTTGGCTGGACAAGTGTAGTTACCTTAATGTATAGGTGCTGGAGGACTAAAATGTATGACTTCATCAACACAATTGCACAGTTGTGTTGAATTTCTTCTTTATTTTTCAAGATAATGCTTCCTGACTGCAGTAAGAAGGAGGATCGTGAATTTCTGTTTGGGTATTTTCAGTGTTACTTTTCTCTGATAGTGAAGAAATCAAGGCATCACCTTTTAAAGTCTAAAAACTCAATTTAGTTATTGCTTCACTTGTCAAAGCTAAGACTCACATTTTCAACATTGAACAGTCTACTGTATTTTAAAATTCTTTTCCAAAATGGAACTGAGTTAGACAGAAATTCTCCAAGCTCCATAAATCCAATCCCAAATGCTTCTAACTAGTTTGTGCCCAGAAAAATAAGAAATTTAGCACAGCTAGTGGTGAAAAATGGCGATTTTCACATCCCATTGGCATTCTGTAGTGAAGGCCATAACAGAAGTCTCCGGGGAAATCTTAATTTTGCTTACCTGGGAAAATACCCTTTACCTGCCACAAGCTGCTTATGCTTTCACTGTTATTCTTCCCGTGTCAGTAGGGAGGGGGGAGCACTCCCAGTGGCTCCACTTACACATATGCTTGATAGCATGGGAGCTATCCTGTTCTTACACAGCATGAGGAAAAATAATTAGGAACTATGTGATTCTATACTATCAGTATGCACACATGCAGGAAAGGGATTCACTGCCAAACCAGGTTTCTGTTTTTTTTTAAGAAACTCATTGTGGAAACTTTTCAAAGCTATTATCTTTTGGGAATGTAATTTAAAGTTGTGTAGGGAGTGGATTTCCAGTTTTAGTATTTTATAAACTATGGCATTCATTTTTTGTCTGTATTGTAGTAAAATAATGGCCACATCATATTCCTTTTATCAAGAATAGCTCCAGTGTGGTTTTTTTCCCCATCCAGACCAAAAAGTGTTGGTTGCATTTGTGTGCAATGATGTTTTCCAAAATAGTCATTGGGGAAAGGAGGAGAGGGCTTAAGAGGAGGAAAAGCCGTGGGGTCTTGCAGCTCTTTCCATGACTTTCTGGCTTGTATCCATGTGATACATAATGTGATCCAGTTCCCATAATGTGATTTTATCGTTTAAAATGTTTACCCAAATGTCTTTCTACAGAAAACAAACATTAGAACTTAATGAACAAAAAAATTACTTTATGGTGTTCATTCTCTTAGACCACTGAGAAGCTTTCTGTTCTTTTCTGAAAAATAAAGATTTAAGTATTTTGTAATTTTAATGATCTAGCTGATAGAAAAGTGTGCCCTTTTGTGAAGTGTCTAAAAAATGCACTTCTTCCCTTTCAGCTGAGCACTATCTCAGTAGCAGCAATTACATGGACTGCATTTCCTCGCTGACAGGAAGCAATGGCTGTAACCTGAACAGTTTGTTTAAGGGATCTGACCTGCCTGAGCTCTTCAGTAAGCTTGGTTTGGGCAAATACACGGACGTATTCCAACAGCAAGAGGTCAGTGTTCCTTTGAAAGACATCTTTGTGTTAGTACGATTTGTTCCAGCAGCAGTTGTTCTGTCTCTTGACCAAAGCCACTGGGAACTCCCACTTTGTGGCAGGATTTTCATGGGCTGTTCTTTCCAAGTGTTCCTGGACATGAGTACTATGTTGTCCTGCACCTTTGATTTATACTTAACAAAGAATCAAAGTAGGATTGGATTCTTGTCATTCAAGGAAGTTTAAACCTTGGCTCCTACTTGTAAACTAGGATGCTGACTAGAATGTCATAGGTTTCAGTCTGTTTTATGTGTAGGTTGTGGAAATCCAATCTTTTTTAGTTAGTAACATCTTGTCTCAGCCGATGCTGGGGTCACATATATCCATCTCCTGCTTCTTCCCCTGTGTGCCAGTTGACTTGCTTTGATCCACTCCCAACAGGGAGATATGGTCAGTCAACTGTATGAGATTTCTACCTCCACACCAGCTAATCTTTTATTCCAAGTATTCCTTATCCGTAGAGTGCTGTATAGGTAGAGTCCACTTGGTTATCTGCAGGTAGTTTATTCTGCTGCCAGATTTGACTGTGTCACAAAAGCACAGTGGGCCCAGCTGCAAGACTTACAGGCATGGAGCTCCTGAGCTTGTCCCAAAAGCACTGTCGTTGTAAATGGGACGTTGTATGTGCCACACTGCTGGAATTGGGTGTACTAGGGTGGAGGTGTCCATGTGGGTTTTGTCAGTATCCCATGTGGTACAGGGGAAGGATCACAGCTGGATTTGGCACCTTCATGTATTATGGACCCATATGTCCACTTTGTGTCTTCAGCAGCACACATCATGTCTGCACACACCAAGGATGCATTCAAGTGTGTACTGCACTGTTAGAAGGGTAGACAGGAGACAAACTTGTACCGTCTCCTGTGCCCTAAGTCACTCCTGTACGTGCACTCAGAGTGCCCTGAAGTGCACTGCTGCTGGCTCAGCCTGGGGACAGCTGCATCTGCTGCATTTCGTGCCTTCATTCATTGTCTCTCTCTCTAATCGTGCTGCTTAAGTCATGTGGGGTCAATCCCCAATCTGAATTAGTAAATCCAGCTGTGCCTCAATTCTGCGTACAGCCTTCAGGTTTATCTCCTCTGTATGTTCCTCTGAATGTTCCATAATACCCATATTATCCAGTCTCTTAATCCTTTCCTGTTATTTTAGCCACTCTCCTAAAAAGGAGAGAGAGCTGGATTGGTTTCTGATACTAAGGGTGGTTTTTGCTTCACGACTGGGTTTTTGTTGTGGTTTTTCTTATCTCAAGAGCTGCTGATGAGGTGCGAGACGAGCCAAGTAGTTTGACCAGGGTGAAAACTAAACAATTTTCCACTGTTTCTGTGAATTGCATTGGGAGAAGAAATACCACAAACATCCATTGTTGCACACACTGTTGAATGCTCGGTGCTTGAACTCAAATGTGTCACCAGGAGTTGAGCAATCCTCCTGTGCTAACCTGGTATAATCTGAAGCACCTACTGTATCTACAGACATAGATACCTGGCATATACACTGTTCCCAAGCGTGTTGTAGTGGTTTTGGTAAATACTCAAAATCTCAAGATTTGCAAATAAATAGGACTAATTGATCTTCTGTGATTTTTCTAAAACTGCTTACTTTTCAGTTTCTCCTTCTCTGTCAGAAATGTAGCAAATTGAGCAGCTGTGTGAAGAAGCCATTGAAAAGCCATAATTGCTGTTTCCATGCGAGGAATAGGTTGGCTGAGTAGGAATAGAGTACCTGTACAAAGCAGTAGGGGAAAAAAATGAAGCTATTCTGAACCACATTTATTAATTAATACTTTTGTGTAAAAACTTGTTTTGCCTAATTTTCCTATTTCTTTTTACTCTAGATTGATCTGCAGACATTCCTTACTCTTACTGATCAAGATCTGAAAGAGTTAGGAATTACCACTTTTGGTGCCAGAAGAAAAATGCTGCTTGCAATCTCAGGTAAATAACACAAAGTATCATTTCGTTGATTTTAAGCATTGTTTGTTTGTATTCTTCTCACTCGAGTCGTGTACTTATAGTTGGCAAAGGAGCTTGGAAGGACTAAGACACTAGTCCACAGAGGTCATAACAGCTTGCCCCTCACCTGGGGTGCTTAAAACCAGGCTTTGCTATTACCAAATAGCAGCTCAGTTGCAATAGTCCTGTACAGTTGGAGCTTGGTGAAAGTTTGTTTCACTGCAGGTTGTGAAGTTTTTTGGATGCCCCAAAATTGTGGGTCCAAGAAGCTCTGGGATTACAAGCACTACAGGGTCTGAATGGCACTACCTACCAGTCACAACTTTTAGTTCCCTGTCCTCCACTTTATTGATTAGCAGGGCAATCGTCCTGCTGGGAAAAACTGCCTGCTTTTGAGGGGCTTTGAGTTTTTGGCTTTGGCTTTTTGGCAGTTTTTTATGCCACAAATGCATGGGTTTGAGAGAAACATGTAACTCTTACTTGGAATTTTTCCAACCCATTTTAATTAATAGGTTGTCTTGATCCTACATGCAGAAAGAAGGCCAAATATAATTTTTTAAAATATGCTGTAGTATATAAAGCCTAACTAGATTTTTCTAATTGTGATAAATAGCATGAGGTTTCTTATTACATAGGAGTGCTATCTTCCTTGACTAGGCAATGAATCTGTATCAGAGGAAGAGTTTCTTTCAGATGCTTCATTGTAACACTACATTACTTTCCTCCCAATTTCATCTCTTCTACTGATGCCATTAGTGAATGTTTTATTAATTTAAAATGGTGCAGTAAAAAGGGCAAAAATGCAATGTACTTAGTAGCAGTCGTGAATATCTGTGTAATATTTCAGTGATATCTGCCTATCTGTCATGAAGTTTGGTTACAAGAATAGAAAAGTGGGGAAAAAAGTATTTTGGATGAGCTTTTGCTAATACAAGATTAGTGTGCATGTTGGAATGAGAGGTGATCATCTGTTTTTTTCTGAAAGTCCGAATTAAAATATTGCTTCAGTTTTGTCTTTAAAGAATTGTGCATTAAGAAATGATCAAGATAAACTTTTCTGTCATCTCAGTTTACATTACACGGTTGTGCTGCAGCATATACTTCTGGGAAGATTGCAGTCTTTGAGTATTCTAACAAACTTTTTAAAGTGTTTCAGCTCTATCAACTGGTTCTAAATCAATATTGCAAAAAATTATCTACTTCACACTGTACCAGTGCCAATAAGAATTGCACCAAATAGATGCCTGTGTCCTAGGCAGCCTCTGAGCCTTAACCTGTCACTGATTATCCTGTTGAACTGAATAAGTACCTCACAGATACCTTCAGTTCATATTGTTCCATCTAAAATATTTTGCTTGTTTAAACAGAAGTTTTGCGTTGCATTGGGCTCAAAATATTAAAATTTAATTTCTGATGAGAGATTTCTGTGCATGTTTGACCTTTGCAGAACTGAATAAAAACCGAAGAAAGCTCTTTGATCCGTCAAACATCCGTGCCTCGTTCCTGGAAGGTGGAGCCAGTGGGAGACTGCCGCGCCAGTATCACTCGGACATTGCCAGTGTCAGCGGCCGCTGGTAGCAGGACGTTGTGGCTCTAAAAAGTCAGCTGTAAAGATGGACATGGCAATCCTGTGGACAGCCTTCACTGCACACCACCCTCTGCACTTTGGGAGTTTGGGCGTCAAGGACCAAAGCGTTTTGTCTGCACAATACTGTGCCAAAAGAAAACAAAAAAATCAACAGAGAAAACACATTTTGTCTGTTCTCTTTCGAAACACCAAATGTGGGTTACGTTTTACTCATGTAGATTGGACAGAATTTGCAATAATAATAATATAGGGTTCTTTGTTTAGTATTTTATTACCTATAACTATAATGTATGCACTGAATTTTTTACTTTGTTGAATGAAGGAAGAATGAAGAGCTGGGATGCCAGAGAGCATAGATTTGGTTTTATCAAGATGGATTTTTCTGGTACTGCTTAAAATAATTATTGAGGTCTTTCTGCACTTTACATGTTCTGATTTCTTGTCCTGTGGAAATTTATTTCTCTCTTTCATTTCCATATCAATTTTTATATTGGCACTAATCAAATTTGTTCAGGTGTTCCTGCATTAAGTCACATCTCACTATAATGGTACTAGAATCCGGTTCTTATGCAGACTTTTTTTTTCCCTCTCTCTGTCTCCCGGGTAGTTATCTGAAGAGATTGTTCCAAAATCAAGTCACTTGGTAGTGGACCAGTCCTGTTATGCTCTTATGAAGCAGTGTAATGCTGCCTGCAATAATACTCACTGTAACAGATGCAATGAAAGACCAAAATGGACCTTGCAATATTAACCCTTTGCAGTCAACATATTTAACTGCTGCCTGTTATGCTAAAAGTGTTTTTAATGGTTGTCTCAAAGCAAAGGGCTATTTTTAGTACCCTGCCACTAAAGGACACTTATTTATATCAGACTTTTATTTTTAGATTCTATACACCTACAATACGTAACAGATTAAACTGATCTACTGCAGATTTATGGTAGAGAATGAAAGGCATTCATCAAACTAGAGCTCCAGGCTGTCAGTTTGATTAAACAGACAACTAATCTAATTTGACAAGACAGCACTGTTGCCATTTAATAAATGACACATATTACTTACATGACTATGCATGCAGCAATTAAGTGACCTACATAAAATAGGTGTAATAGCATCTGTTTTGTTCGATCCAGATTTGTAATTGTCAGCTGCAGAAGTGTTTCAAACTCCGGAGATGAACTATTTCTGAAACAAGTTATGTTCAACGGAAAGAGTCCATGTTATAAGTGGCTAGAGCTAACTTTTGCATTCTTATACTGTGAAAGTCCGAATGATTTGGCAATGTTATTCCTCTGTCTTGACAGATGTTGTGTTATGGGTTTATGAAGGGTTCAGATATAATGAAGGAATTCATAAAGTGCCTCTTTTTGCAATGCAATACGTAGTTTCCAAGCATTAATTGAAAAGCATTCCCATGAGAAATATTGTGAATTACCTCTACTGTAATGTACTATTTATGTTCAGTGTACAAGCCTTTTGAGATGGACATAAACCACTGTCAAGTGCTCTTAACAGAAGGCATTAGAATAACATTTACAGTAGTTGGGTTTTATGCAAAAATGGGTGAGAAAGAGTTCTGACACTTTCCATGGATAATTCTTTCTTTTAAGGTGAGAATGCAAAATGACATAAAGAGAAATTTGCACACACAAAGGGAATTTAAAGAGACTTGTTACTTGAGGGCATAGATGATCAAGCAATAATATAAAGTCTTCTTGTGGTTAGCTAGAAATTGCTGCTCAGTAATCACTTCAGCCATATCTACTTAATGGTGTATAACTGGGTGACTTCCCCTCTAGGTCCAGTAGCATCTTTGCCTGGTTTTACAGTGGTACTACAGATCTGACTGGGTAAAGCTGTGTCTGGTACACAGTTGTTCACACCAGTCACTGTGCTCGATGCCAAGAGTCAATATCCACATATCTGAGAGGTACTTGTGTGTCACATGGGCAAGAGCAACTTCATGGAAACCCTCTCAGAAGCCACAACTTCTCATTCTAAAACTATTTACACTTGTGCTTACTTCTAAGCATGTAGGTAGTTCCATTCACAGGGGCTACTTGTGTGCTTACAGATAAGCTGTCATTTCTATGCTTGCACTCGCAAGACCAGTGTTTGCAAATCAAATTGTATTCAGCCATGTTATTTTATAAAATATTTTTAATTAAATAAATATTCAGCTGCACTTGGTACAGAATTTTCTGCAACCCCTTCTTGCTTATTTTGCCTAAACTTAAAAGCATCAGAAAGCTTTTACACTCTAGTCTTTTGTAAGTACTTGCTATGTATCCAGATGGTACTATACTCAGAAACTCATTTTATTACAGTATTAAGTTGATGTGGTCTTTTGCTGAGCAGTGCTTATGTCATCTACACCAAAGTGAAGAATTTCCCTTGAACAACAAAATTTTTCAGTAGGGCTTCACACACACACAAAAAAAAGAACACACTGGAAGTAAAAAATTTCTCACTTATTTTGATTCCACAAAGGGAATATAACCGTACAGTGTACCGTATTGTGTTATATTATGCACAAATATTTGACTTGCTACATAAAATGTTAGTTTTAAATCTGTGCCTTAATAGTGACCAGTTATCTGTAAATATAGAGCAGATACAGATTGTATTTTTGTGGGTTGTGTCCTTTTAGTGATTTTTTTTAAAATAAAAGTTGAAATTAAGACATTAAAAATGGGAATTTTCAAAACTAATCAGTGTTGCATAAAATAAATTTATATAACACCCTTGTATTCTGATTGGTTTGTGAAGTATTTTTTATATAGACCCAGTTCCAGGGATGCTTGCTTGTTAATAAAATATAAAAAGCAGTATTTGACATAATTGCAACATGTTTCTTTCACATGCTAATGCTTCGTGTATTACTGTTCTTTTTGTCATATACAGTGTCTGACTTTTAAATGAGTGCTTTGTTGAAATACCTGTCATTAATAATTAATATAGAGGAGTTAAATTACCTCAGGTTCAATTCATATCAGGCTTTATTGGTTTGGCTTACGTAAGTTCTATTCTTCTTTGGTCTTCCCATTTGAATGACTATGTTTTGGTCAGGTTAGCAGGGCAGTTCTACATGTTCTTTCATGGTAGTGTCACTTCCAGTACGGAAGCGGGGGGAAAAAAAAAAGGGAATTCTTTCTTTGGCATGCTGGGACATGAGCAGTCAGCCTCTAGTGAGAGGCACAGCTTTCCCACTGAGTTCATGTGTACACAATGTACATCATCATCAGTCTTGTCTCTGCTCCACAGGCAGTGGTGCAGGTTCAGGATTGCTCACCTCACTGAGTGCATCCAGGCATTTTGTCATTCCAGCCTCCCGTGGTTTCTTAGTTAACTGTTTTAAACACACACCTCTCCACTTCAGTGGCAGCGTTCCCAGCTCACTGACCTTGCAAAAATCTGTGAGTTATTCTGAACAGCTACTGAGAATTGCAGGTGTGGGAACAAGTCTGGGAAGGAAACAGAAAAACAAACTCTTCCACAGAGGCCAACTCTGAAGGATGTGGGGCTGAGTGCAGATTTACCAGGCACTGGCATAAACTCAGTGGAAATGTAGAGAGGCAGGGGGGCTTGCAAATGGAGTCTCCAAACTATGTAAAGATTAAAACTGAGGCATCTCTCTTTACTGTTTGACCCCAATCCAATCAAACACTAGCTGGAGGAGACTTATTTTTTTGCAAGCCTGGAAAACACAGTTACAAAAGGCTTATGAGTACTGTTGTAAGCTGGTCAGGAAAGGTGTGATAGGCAGGGGCATTCAGAAATTTGTGCTTGTACTGTGAAGTAAGCTTAGAAGAATTTGATTGCAGACAAGTCTGGACACTGCTGATGTTACCTTTTATCCTTGAAAAACAGGCTTCCTTTGTGTCACAGACATTTGAGCAAAAGGAAGGTTTGGCTTTTATTTGGAGTTGCTGCGAAGTTTTTCTAGGATTTGAGAAGATGCAAAAACTAGAGAACTTGTAGAAAAATTTCCAATATACAGGATTGGTGTATATATGGCTGCAATATTTTTACAACTTCTCTGAAAGTGGAGAGCTGTCAGGACATGCAAGAAGCTAAGGGAAGGTGTTTTAGAATGGCTGAAGATAAGAGGTCTTATTTTGAATTAGGGGTAGTTGTGAGTGAGGAATATCTTGTAACCTGAAGAGCACACAATAAACTTGTGGGTTTGCTATAAAATTCCTTTCTTTTTCTTTTGGCTTAAGATACTATCTGGAGCAGAAATTACAAGAATCCAGATAATTATAAGAGGCTTTTTGCAGATGATATATTGTATTAAGGAAAACTTGAGTTTTATCTTTTGTTTCCTTTGCTACAGATGTACAGATGTAATTTTTTTATAGTGTTTAGAATGTTAATGTTTTATATGCTTTCATGAATCAACAAAGCAAACTTTATAAATAAAAATAAAGTAGTAGAACAGACCTATTTACCAATTTTGAATATTGACATGGCTATTAGGAGGAGCTAATGGTTAGTTGAGATGACTTTTTTCCCTCTGAAGAAATTGCAGTAATGTTAGCAAACTACTTATTGTAGTAAGGTTTAATAGCAAAATGAACATGAGCAAAACCAAAAAGCAAGTTTTCAGCCTTGAAAGAAAAATAAGTCACAAACTGTTAAGTTTGGGATTGATTTTGGTTTGTTTTGGGTTTTTTTTTTCAGAAAATATTCTCTGAAATTCTTGGAATTACCTTTAAGTATATTTGCAGTATATTGTTTTGTTATTCCCAGTACCCTTTAGATTACCTGGAGCTATAACTACAAGAAGTATGCTGTGAAATCCTTTTGACACTGAACTGAATCAGAATAAATGTAAGTTATGTTGGGAAATTAAGATACTTGGTTATGAAGATGTAGAAATGTTTTTGTATTAGTCAAAGCATCATTTAGTGTCAAGTTTCCCCATTCTTCTAAGGAGTAAGATTTGGGTAATATTGTCTCTACTGAGAAATGCAGAACGATTCCAGATGTTGATGAAAATATGAAGAAAGATGAATACATTGTGATGGAAATTACCAAGTTTGTGCCAAAACTGTGTTGCAACTTCATGGAAACTAACAGATGGAAAAAGCAAAGCATAATATGAGGAAAAAAACCCCAAACAATTATATAATGAAGTAAAAATTTGTCACTTCTAGCAATCTGTGGTAAATGTTGTAAGAAATAATGTTGTCACAAATTTAATAACTCTAGGACCATGGGTTGATATGGATCTTGGTACACTTTATTGCTGTGATAAAAATCACAGTTTGTCACCCATGAAGGACAGAAGAGTTGAAGAGGCCTGAAATGCACATGGCACTAGCTTATAATTCCCAAAACTAAAGCCAGCCATGGAAAATGCAATCTCATGCTGTGTATATACAATATAGAAGTGAAGATGTGAGGGATTTTTGAGGAAGAGAACATAAGAAACCTCCAGGAGACAGTGAATCTTACTATATGTTAGACATGAATGTACTAAGGGAAAAGGAAGATGGAAGCCAAGGATAATTTTCTTTTGCTTTAAAATGGATCTGAAGTTCAGATACAACAAAATATTCACAACCTTTTCTTTCAGCAGGAGTTTTCCCACCATGCAGCAGAGCAGTGGTTTGGTTTCTCAAGAGTAAGCCTGTGTTTTCATGCCAAAGCTCACCTCAGTGAGAAGTTGCTATTGCATGGTACCAGAAAGATCCTTACTCTGAAATAGCTTGAATGGGCACTGGATGTTTAGCAGTGACAGTTCAGTACTTTAAAATGCTGATTCTTCTGATACTACAAGATGTCCTTATGTAGCCCTGCACCTAGAAATCAGTACAAACAAAGCTAATTTGGTGAGACTAAACTGTTGACAGATTTGAATCTTGCTTGAAAACTGGATAGGAGACAACTAGCTAACTAATCCCTGGGGGGCAAGGGATATTTTTGTGCAGCTATATTAAAACTATCTTTGTGCCAGCAGTGTTTTTCCTTGCACCAAATGGTGACAATAGCCAGCAAGCTGGAATGCTGAAGGCATGTGTCACATAAGAAAGCTCCTCCTGAGCACTGCTTATCTTCCATCTTCACTGAAAGTGGTTGCAGATGCTCCACTGTTGACTCAGTGCTTTCTTTCCATTATCCTTTTGGACTCCAAATGCTAGAAGGGGCTAATTTTTAAATTTTACATGCAGTTCCATGAGCTTTTTGCTTGCACAAGCACAATATTTTCTTCTTTTCCTAGGAGTGATTAATATGGACAGTATCCAGAACCACTAGAGTGGATGAGAGCTTTGAAGGATTTTTTTTGAAGGGATTTAAAAGTCATGACTGAAGACTGGAAATAACACTTCTGGCACTGCTGCCTTTCCTGGCTGCTGGTGGTGTCTGCTCACCTCTCCTAGATCTTGGCTCTCCCATGCTTGGCTCAAGTTTCTGCTCACTTCTGACAAGCAGTCAAGTTTCAAACAAGTACTTTTGGGAAGTTTGAAGCATTTTAAATTTTCAGGCAGGCTAGTGTTTTCTTTGCTTTTTGTGTTGGACTTAAAAACTATGGCAATGAGGGCACAGATGCTAATGGTCATCCTTGGAGAGTGTGAGGAATTAAATCTGTAAGCACAATTACACTGTTATTACAAAGCCAGTGTAGATGAGGGTATAATTTCTTCAGGTGGGTGGTTGTTCATGAAGATCAAGTAAAGGAAATGTTCATTTGCTTCTTTGGTTCATTTTTTTTAAACATTCATAGAAAGGAGCATCCTTTTGCATGGTGTTCTTATTACAGTTTAAAAATGATTATGGAAAGTGATTCTACAGGGCACTTCCCATAACCTGTAATAAATACATAATTAGTCATAGACAGAGGGATTCTTTACCATTAGTTATTGGAGCACAACAGCACATTTCTTCCTTGCTTCCCAACTACCTGTAATATTTGTGCTGAGGTCACTGCATCCATGTACTTTGGTTGCATATTAATTTGTGGTTATTCTGTGCCCTGGAGCTGCTGCAGAAACAAGGTAATGAAACGCCAGGAACAAAATTGCTTCTCATCTAGTTCCTAGTGTGTCTTCTCACTGTGTAAACACATCAGGAAGTATGAGAGCATTTCTGGACTGAACAGATGTGTTGGTCTGCTGGAAACTTCTGAAACCCACTATTTTCAAGTCCTCCTTAATCTTTGTGATGAATTTGTTAACTTCAAGATGTTTTACATCTGGTTCTGTTTGTCAAATTGCTTTCAAGTGTTCAGGTTTTTGTGATTATATCATCTGTGATAAAATAGGCATTAAATCAAATACTACATGAAGATGCATTGTCTGTTCAAAGCTATATTAGAAATGGCATATTTTGTATCCTTGGTCTGTTTTGGGTTTAAGTGAAATTTTATAGACCTTTCAGAATTTGTGTGTATACATAAAACCCAAAAATGTTATGACAAAGAATCACAGAGACTTTGTCCCTTCCACCTCCCTTCCCAAAATGAAATAAGTCAGTGTTTAATCTTAAAGCATTTTTTTATCTAATTGAGATTTTCCAAGCTCACAAAATTTGGCAGAAGATAAATCAAGTTTTTATGGTTCCTGAAGGCAAATCACTTTCTGATAAACATTCTAGTGTGTTTTCACATGCTATTCAACATGGGAGGTGTGCAGAAATATCAAAAAGACTTGGAAAGCTTTCTTACTTGTCCTCTAACTCTTCACCGGATCAACTTTTCCTTTTGCTTGAATCTAGTGAAATTGTTCTATGTTTAAGCACAGAAAA